GGATTTCTTGTGCGATGAACCCGGGACTTGCCGTATTGGTAAGGGATTTACATTGTCAGTAGTGATCGTGACGATAGTGGCTCGTTGAGCAGGTGTGGTATCTCCAGGAGTTAATATATCTCCAGGAGTTAATATATTGGGACAATATATATAGGTTACCTATTGTTAGTAAATTAGAATAATCTAACTAATTGTTTGTATCATTCCTCATATTTTTATAAAGAGTTTCTCCCTTCTCTTTCAAGAGGGAGTGCTATCTTAAGCTGTTAGTCTGATAAGACAGGGAAATATGAACTAGAATAATTCTATTAAATAATCGAATAATTTTTATACGATATTCTGACCCCGTGGAGTAGGCCCTCCGAGACGCCAAGCGGGACAAGAGCCGCGTGGTGGGCGGGTCCACGCGCATCCCCAGGGTGCAGAAGCTGCTGCAGGATTTCTTCGGCGGAAAGGAGCTCAACAAGTCGATTGTTAGGGTTACTATAAACACCTCTTAAACATTGGTGACAGGGAAGTAGTAAAAGCTTAGTGGCTAGAACTCTTTTATTGATAGAGCTAACACACGGGGTTGAATCACAAGATGACAAGGCTTGGGTTAAGGCGAGGGCGCCTAGGTCAGACGGGAAGCCCTACCAACGGCAACCTGGCCGCGGGGTCAGGCGTGACCCATCTCGGCACAGAACACTCTCGTCACACTCTGCTTTCGGGGATCCTCTGCAGGCCTTACATATCCGAGCGTTGGCTTGGGGAACGAGGGTAGGTAGCATTCCTCCAAGCCGCGGCTGGGCGGCGTGGGGAACGAGGCTAGGTAGCGTCCAAGCCGGCAGGTAGCTAGCGTGGGCGGCAACGCTGCTGGTACAAGCATCAACATGGTCTGTATACAGTATATTGTATATCGATCAACCCGGACGAGGCGGTGGCGTACGGGGCGGCCGTGCAGGGCGCCATCCTCCGCGGCGACCAGTCGGAGCAGCTGAACGACCTGCTGCTGTTGGACGTGGCCCCGCTGTCCCTGGGCATCGAGACGGCCGGCGGCGTGATGACCACACTGATCTCTTCGTTTTGTAAGGCTTGTTCCAAGAATATTTATTTTATAGGTACCTGATATTTAATACTGTATGTAAATATTTAGAAATACATGTACATTTCTTACGTGAAAACATCTTTCCTTAACCATATTACCTTGTACTAAAAGTGGAAGAAATAGAGAAATCCTTCTGAAAAGTCAACAATGTGTGGATAATAGACAATGGATAATTTATTATGCTAAAATGCAGAAAAAAGTAAATTATAGAAGAATGCATGCTACATTATAACGTTAATGTGTACAACTACTTATTCATATCTACGGATATGCATGCATACATCTGTATTGAGTATGTACAAACGCACACGCACGCACTCACACACAAGTCGCATATATATGTACATATTTCTATATATGGTTGTGGTTATATATATATGCGTATATATACATATTTATGCATACATATAAATGAAAAAATAAATATATGTGTGTAAATATGTATATAAAAGATAAAATGAACCGCGACTCGAATGCGGTCTATCATTTAGTAATACAAACTACACTCGCGGTGTAGAAATTGTAGTTTTCAGCGTTTAAGAGGAAGAAATTTTAGGTGTTTGCACTGGCAATGTAGAAAAATGTAGTATTCTGTACCTGTGTTATAAAAAAAATGTTGCTTTCTCTATTTGAAGTGCAAAAAAACCTAGCTTCCTAAATATAGCTGTTTGCAGGTGCAAGAAAACATAGCTTCCTATACCAGAGGTATAAAAAATGTAGCTTTATGCAACTGAGATAAAGAAAACGAGCTGTTTACACCCACAGCAACTTTCTGTTAAGGTGGCATAGAAAATTTCTTACATCCATGTTATATATGTAGTTTTCTGTATCTGAGGTAAAGAGCTTCCTGTACACACACTATAGAAAACGCAACTTTCTGTGGCGCCTAAGGGAAATAGTATAGAGCTTAGCTGTTTTGCACTGAAGTTATAGAAAACACAGCTTTGTGTACCCACGATACAGGAAATTGAACATTCTAGAGTTGAGGTTCAAAAAACGTAGCTTCCTACATCCGCTTTATAGAAAATGTAGCTTCCTGAACAAGATTTAAAAAACGTAGCTTTCTGTGAACGCGTCACAAAAAAGTTGATTTCAAAGTGTAAAATCTTGCGGTTCACTTATGCCTGCAACTATTCACTCTGTATAAAATATTAATGAAGCGATTCCATTTACCAAATTTGTGTTATTTTCATCTCGTGGGATCATGTTTGAATGTGTTGTATAGAGAGCAGCATTGAAATTAATGTACAGAAAATACAGAGCACACAGTCCAGTCATGAGAGCTATTATTACATGCAAATATTTCCAGAAGAACCATAATGATAATTATGATGATGATGATGAGGAGGAGGATAATAATTATAAAAGATGATAGAAAAATGACAACAGAAGCAACAGTAATAACGATGATAATTATGATAATAATGATGGTGATAATGACAATAAATGATAGATATTATAGTATTTAACCAATGTGAAACATATCACAGTCTTTTCTCCTTATTTATCTGAATTAACCCGATTGCTTCCTTTCTTTTCTCCTCTTCCTCCTTTCTTTTCATCTTTACTTACCCCTCCCTCCTTTCCTCCTCCTCTTCTTCCCTCCTTTCCTCCTCCTCTTCTTCCCATCATTTACCCTTCCCTCTCTCTCCCTCCTCATGCGCCCACCTTCCCTCTCATACTCTCCTCGTCCTCCCTCCTTACTCTCACCACCTTCCCCTCCCCCTCCTCTCCCCTTCCTCCCTCCACCTCCTTCTCCCCCTCCTCTCTCCTTCCTCCCTACTTTTTCCTCTCCTCCTTCCTCCTTCCTCCTTCCTTCCTCCTCCCCTTCCTCCCTCCACCTCCTTCTCCCCCTCCTCTCCCCTTCCTCCTCTCCTCATCCTCCCTCCACCTTCTCTCCCCTTCCTCCTTCCCTCTCCTCATCCTTCCCTTCTTCCTCCCTCCCTCCCTCTTTTCCTCATCCTCCCTCCTTCCTCCCCCTTCCTTCCCTACTTCCTCCCCCTCCAAGCCCTCCTTCTTCCCTCCCTCCCCCTCTTCCCCTCCCTCCTTCCTCCTCTCTCCCTCCTTCCCCCTCCTCCCTCCTTGCCTCCGTCCTTCCTCCTTCTCTCTCCCTCCCCCCTTCTCTCTCTCTCCCTCCTCCCTCTTCCCTCCTTCCCTCCATCCCTTCCTCTCTTCCCTCCTTCCCTCTCCCTCCCCGCAGCGTGATGGACATCATGTCGACCGGCCTCCTCCGCAAGTGGTGGCGCGACTGGAGCACCGAAGCCAAGAACTGCGGCTCTTTGCAGAACGCACCGGTCGGGATGAAGGCGGTGTTCGGACCCTTCTTCGCGTTGGCTGTGGCTACGGTTTCGTCGGTGTTGGTGTTCGTTGGGGAGGTTTTGAGGAGTAGGAGGGAGGGGGGGGGAAGAGTTTGGTGTGTTGAAGGTTTTAGGGGCGAGGTGAGAAGAGGTAAAGGAATAAAAGGAAAGAGAGAGAAAAAAAGAAAAGAAAAATGGCAGCTCGCTCGCTCTTTATTTATATTCGAATCAATTGACACATACTTATATTCACACGTGTTTGCAATTTTTTTCAATTGCTTTTATTCCTCTTTTCTACCTTCCCTTCTTACTTATACCCTCCTCATCTTCCTCCTCTTCTTCCCCTCCCTCCTTCTTTCCTCCTCCTCTTCCCCTCCCTCCTCTCTTACTTCTTCTTTCCTCCCCTTACCCCCCTTACCCCCCCCCCCATTTTGTTACAAATTAACTTAACCGAATCGTACTATTCCAGAATTGAGTTGCCAATTTTTCCTTTTCCTAAGTATGATTAAATCAAGTAATCCAGAAATTATGCTTAACTGTGGTTTTATGTAAATATGTACATATATGTAAATGAGAAATTGATTTACAAACTTCGCCTTCTACACTGCCAAGGTAAGTCTGTTATTGTTTCCATTATCAATAATTTATTTGTGTTTACATATTAAACGAAGCATTGGAGGAGAGTGAATTATTGTAACTTATGTGTCTTGTTCTCGTTCATGTGGCAGTGTCGGGGTGAAAGTAATTGTTGCTTTTGATCATTACTGTATTATATTACATATATTGTACGCACACAAACGCACGCACGCTCACACGCACACACACACGCGCAAACGCACATGCACACGCACACGCGCACGTACACGCACACGCACACGCACACGCACACACACACACACACACACACACACACACACACGTACATATCTATCAATCACTCAAACTATCTATCTGTATACATATCTTTGTTTAACTTCCTGTATCTACAATAACCCTAATCTAACACACGCATCACGTTACTCTCAAGGCCACGAGTCTACTAATGCTACTACTAATGCTACTTCAACTACAACTACAATTATTACTAGCACGTTTTTCTTCTTTAGGATCTTTGTCGATATGTAATGTAAAAGTTCCTGTTGAAGAAAAGTAATGAAGAGAAGGAGAAATTGCATAGTAAGCATATAAGAATGTAATAAGAATTTATGAAGAGGAAAATATCGGAAGGTAAAGTAATTCAAGATTTTCTTATTTTCTTTGTTATTTACAGGGCCATAAACAGCAATAAATCTGCTAGTAGGAAGATTACTACACACATACGCACGTACGCACACACATATTCAATTCATCTATTTAATATAATACGCAAGCTAATTATGCACATAACTCACTTAACAGATATTTGATAACTGTATTCTATCAACTGTAATGGATTTATTACAGCAATGTGATCGCATAATACAAGTCAAGTCATGAAATTCAGGAAAATCTAACTCAACACAAACTTACATAATCTAATACCAATACGATTAAACATTCCAATATAGTTATAAAACCAAATATCACACAGAACCACAAGCACACACAATATCACACCAAAGGATAGACAAACCCGCTTTTTGTGTTTAATATTGATTATTATTTTAATTTGGGGCGTCAGTTTTACACTATTGAAACTTAAGATTGATTCACAATGGAAAGATGCATAAGTATTGAGATTATTGCTTTTGTTATCAGTATTGATGTGCACTTTATTGCTATACTACTGCAATTGTTCTTCTTGAGGTTATGTTGAATGTAGTTATAACTACTGACCACTACTAATATATCCATTACTGTATGACTACACACATGAACATTAATAGTGATAATAATAAGGAAATAAACTAAGTTGTTTTATACTACATTAAGTTGGTAAGATTGTTTATGCAAGAAATTCTGCAACAGTGATGATATCAAACACTTTTTTAAAACATAATCACCAATACGATTCTTTTTCCCGTTTCGTTGTGATTTTTTTAATGCATTTTATCCTTATAATGTCGGGCAGCAAACGTGAATATTTCCATCCCTGTCAAAGAAAGAATATATAGAAATTAATCATTCAGTGGAAAATATATTCATGATTTATCACATGTTCCTTATCAACAAGACAATATAATGTTTCATTATTATAATTGAGAAAGATTGGTAGCTTTGAGCATTGTGTCCATTGTGAAAACGGAGTGGTTTGAAAGAGAGAGAGAAGGAGGAAGGGATATATATATAGAGAGAGAAGGAGGAAGGTAGAGAGAGAGAGAGAGAGAGAGAGAGAGAGAGAGAGAGAGAGAGAGAGAGAGAGAGAGAGAGAGAGAGAGAGAGAGAGAAATAAGAGACAGACATACAAACATAGAACGCAGAACCAGACACAAACCCAAACAGACAGACAGACAGATCAATCAAACCACCCCACTCAGATAACGTATCTCTGCAATCACCTGGTATCACACCGATGGTCGACGAGGAACTTGGTGGTCCTGCCCACATCCCCCGCTGCATTGGTCACTTGAAACACCTGCTCCAGCCTCACGCACTCGTTCACTAACACACAGGCGCCTAAGCGAGTACCTGGCGTGTTGCACTGAGAACCTGGTGATGAGATAGAAACGTGTTAAGGCTAAGTCCGATATGCGAAGCTGAGGCTCGTCCGGGCTATGGGGGGAGCCCGGGCTGTGCCGACTAATGTCACAACAGTGTGTCAACAGGTGCTGACTCGGATGAGCTTAGTTCTTACCCACCGTGGTGCCCAGCCACAGCAGTAACCTCCAGGCGACAATTGCAACTTCTCGCGCCTGGGCGGGGCGCGAACCGCCGACCCCTCGGATGAGAGGCCGACACGTTACCACTGTACTAGCCCAGAGGCTTAGAAACGTGTTTTTTGTCTTGATATTTATAGGCAAGTTTTACACCAATCATGCAGATCTCCATGTGAATTTATAACAAGATAAACATACACTAACCTCAACATATATATGTATGAGTGCATAGACAAGATATATATATATATACCTACATTAACATACGTATGTATAAGTGTACAAACAAGGTAATATACATGCACTTACATATGTATGTGTGTGTGCGGGTGCGTAGCAAACTGATTACTTTATACCAATGGTTCTGAACCAGGGGGGGGGGGGTCAGTAATATCCAGAGGGGGGGGGGCGTGAGCCCTTGGGAAAAAGAAAGAATTTATCGAGCATGGTCGACTCATAAGTTTAATAATTGTTTTTTTTTCTTTCTTTTTTTTTTTTTTTGGGGGGGGGGGGAATCTTATTCACATCTGCAAGGGGGTCGTGGAGGGAAGGACAAATTCCTAGTGGCATGGTCGGAAAAGGGTTAAAGAGCCACAGCTTTATACCACTACTCTTTTGTGCTATCTCTGCATATATGACACGAAGCAAAAGAAGTTTCCAAACGTGAACATGCATTATTAAACTACTAATCTATTAATTACTAAACAAATAATGGTGATGATGATATTAATAGTAAAGGTAATGGCGATAATGATGGTGATATTAATGATAATGATAATAACAACAACAATAATGACAAGAACGACAATGATAATGTAAAATCAACATGACAATTCAATACTTACCCTCACTCCCCCCCCCCCCTAAAAAACTCATCACACCCTAAGACAAAAATAACAAAATACAAAACACCCCCACCCCCTCGCTAAAATAATGTATCATATAAGAATAAAAGAGACAAAAAAGAAAAGAAAAAAGAAAAAAAAACATACCACAGGATTCGAGGGCCAGGCCAGTATACCTCCAGACACTGTTACAGCACTGTTGTTGGCGGCAGCTGTCATATTTCACGCTCCCCAGGATGTAAGAGCGACCATCGGCAAGGCATGTGGTTGCCTGGTGAGCTGAAATGTCAAGAAAAATGTGAGAGAGAGAGGGGGGGGATGCAGAATGAGAGAGAGAGAGAGAGAGAGTGAGAGAAAGAGAAAGAGAAAGAGAGAGAGAGAGAGAGAGAGAGAGAGAGAGAGAGAGAGAGAGAGAGAGAGAGAGAGAGAGAGAGAGAGAGAGAGAGAGAGAGGGGGGGGGGGGAGAGAGAGAGGGGGAGAGAGAGAGAGAGAGAGAGTGAGAGAAAGAGAAAGAGAAAGAGAGAGAGAGAGAGAGAGAGAGAGAAAGTCTAGATATTATGGATGTAATCAGTGGGTGGTCTAGTATCTGAGACAGTTTGATAAATAATCATGAATGGTTTAATATTAGAAATAATCTGAGAACAAAAAATATGCATGGGCTAGTGTACGTATCAATTTGCAAAATGATTAGCAAGATAATTATACGTGGTCTAGTATCTAAGATAAATAAAAACTGGTTTATGATCTGACCATAAAAATAATTATGAGCATGTTAGTGAGTAATTATACACGGGTCTGTTATCTGATAATGTGAAAATAATTATATATAAATTATATATGGCTTATTACCTGACGATATGAAATTAATATTATGTGTAATCATACCTGGGTTTCTTATCTGCTAATGAGCATAATTATGTATGGTTTGTTACCTTACAATCTGAAAATAATATGTGTTCTCATACACAGCGTAAAAGTGACTGAAAGTGGTCCATTATCAAAGATGATATGAAAATAATGATAAATAAAGTTTCTTATCCAAGTCTGTTGTGTGGTGACTTTCTTTTCGCAGACTCTCAGCCCACAGCAAAGCCGTTACAGCGCCTTCGGCAAAGAACTCCTTGCGGTCTACAGCGCCATCAAGCACTTCGGACATATGTCGAGGGGAAAGAATTCCACATCCTGACGGATCACAAGCCCCTCACCTTCGCCCTGCACAACAGGAGCCGCCGCCAGTCCCCACGCGAAGAGAGGCACCTGGATTTCGTGGCCCAATTCACCACGGACATACGGCACATCCAAGGCATCAACAACAAAGCCGCAGATGCCCTGTCCAGGGTATCCATAGGAATGGTAAGTGCCAGCAACAACCCCATCGACTACCACTAGTTCGCAGGGAACAGCAACAAGACCCTTCTCTTCCCGGACTTGTCAATGGAGATACCTCTCTTCAGCTGGAGCAGGTGCAACTTCAGGACTCGCAGGACACCATCGTCCTGGACACTCGATGGCCCCCACGTCCCTACATCCCCCCTTCCCTCCGTCGGCAGTTCTTCGAGGCTTACCGATGCACATCGAGGAATGTCGCGCAACCCAGATCTCCTCCGTCTAGAAAAGTGGTGTGGCCCGGGCATCAATAGAGATGTCCGGGAGTGGAGCCGCACCTGCATCGAGTGCTCACAGCGCAGTAAGATTCACCGACACACTAAGGCTCCCCCAACAGGTGTTCCTGTACCAGACGGCCGCTTCGAACATGTACAAC